AGGAAGTTTGCTACTACAACAGAAATCACCAACGCATCATCATGGGGTATTGTAACCCCATTAAGGTCTTTGTCCGTAAAGGAGAGGTCCTCGTGCTACTTTGGCCTCTTGGGGGCTGGCCCTCGGATGTTCAATTGCCTAGGATAGGCCTTGTGGGTCAAGGCTAAGCCCCCAATGATGACGTCAATGACTCTAGTGACCTACTGATACTGCTGTTGTTGCTGGGAGGACGAAGCTCCAGCTTCGCCCCCGACGAACTACTTCAAATGCCCACGGTAGATGAGTTACTCTATTTTGTTCTTCAACTCATAGCAGTCCTCGGTGTCGTGGCTGACGCTGCAGTGAAACTTGCAATATTGTTTGGGGTTCCTCTTCATCTTCTCTAGCCACTTCGCGAACTTCTCCTCGCCTATTTGCATCAGGATCTGGGTCCAGGAGGAGTTGAGTGGCGTATATTGGCTATAAGCCATGGTCAGGGCCGACGGCTTCCCCGATGGCCCATCGTTGCCTTCGGTTTCCCTCTCCTGGTGGTCCTTGGGCGAAGCCTCTTCATCCGCTGTGTACTTTTGGGCCTTTTTGAGGAACTCCAGCTTTGTTTTCAGTGGGGTCTTGGCGATCGAGCACTTGAGGGTGGAGCCAGCTCAGAGTCCATTGATGGCGGCGTGCATTAAGACCATGGGTCGAGGTCTCTGACCTCAAGCTCTTCTTTTTTAAAGCGGTCGATGTAAGACTACAATCTTTCACCCAGTTTTTGCTTGATGGACATGAGCGAGATGACGCTCTTTTGACACTGTCTGCTGCTGATGAAGTGGGCGAAGAACATATTGGTGAACTGCTCCCACAAACTGATTGACTTTGGGGGGAGGCTGGAGAACCAGCAGTGTGCTACCCCCTTGAAAGTTCGGCACATATAGGCGTCGGAATACCCGTAGAGTATCATGAGCGCTCTGAAACTTTCCTGGTGGTCGCTAGGGTCCGAGGAGTCATCATACATCTCTAAAGTATGAGCCTTGAAGTATGGGGGGAGAGGCTTCGAAATGATTTCTGGGGTGAACATGCCCATGTGGCCAGCGGAATTATCTTGACTAGCGGAGGTGTTAGTTCAACTCTCCTTGACTTGGCGGAGCTCTTCTCTGATGACCCCGAGTTCTGCGTGCAATTTGGATAGCCCCAGATTGGTGGGGGCATGGGCCCCGCTTTTGTCTTCGCGAACTCGATCAGTGGATTCTCAAGTACTCCGAGGCCGGGTCGTGCACTCTCCTATGGGTGTGACGATCATTCAGAATGTCCTGGAGATCCGAGATTGGAGGGGGAGTGGCGCGGCGTTGGCTTTTGCCCTAGGAGCGAACTCCGGGGCGGCGGTCGAGGTTTCCATTATCGTCCTTGGGGACCTTCCTTCGGTGGCAGTGATGCTACTTAGAAGGCTAGTGATTATCTTCAGACCGAGCGGGCACTTCTTCTCTTCAGTTGGGAGGTCAAGTATTCCTTCATGGTGAACTAGGGGGTTGGCTATTGCCCAACTCCGATTGCTCGGCCAGCTGATTGTCGCACTGGCTGAGGGTTGGGGGCTCGACATGCTCGCCTCAACCCTAGTCCTGACACCTCAGCGGGGCAGTCACCTCGAAAGGGACCTCCTGCTCCGGGGCAGACTTCTTCCATGCACTGAGTGAGGCGGTCCAAACAATCAAGGATAGCCTAAAACTGCTTGTAGGTGACTAGGTTTTGGTTATTCTTGGCTCTTCGCACCATAACTTTCAAGCTTAGGAGGGCTTAGAGATTTTTCTTCTTGTGAGTTTTAAGGAATCATCTTAGCAACGTTTCCCACAGACGGTGCCAATTGATGCTGCTCGAATTAGCCAAGGGCAATGAAGTAAATTTGCCTCCAAGTTCTGAGGCGGGATGCTCCCTTCTTTGTATGGTAGAAGTCGAGGACTAAGGATCGTCGGCTTGGTGGCGATGTTCCTGGAGATCCGAGGTACTACAAAACAAGGGATGTCAAAGGCCTCGGGTGAAGACCTGAGGCGGAGGCTCCAATGCTCAAGTTAGTATGAGGTGTAAGGTGGGGGAAGGTGCATACGAGGTCTCGATGGTAGTCCTCGGATGCTCTGGGTCCTCAGGAATGCTAATGAAGGGAGGTAGATGCAATGATTTAACTCAAGGCACTGGAAGTAAATGAGAGAGTTGTATCTGAATTCTGGGATCTAGATCCCTTGTCAAGAGAGAATTATTTCATATTTATACTTGAGCGAACTGGAGGCAGGGGGAGATGAACACACCAGATAAGAGTCATACGAAGTCAGACAACAGGTCTTTACGAGTATGCCCAACTGCTCCGCGGTTTGCTCCGTACGAAGGCAACAGGGCTCCCCCTGTTGTGGCTGACATTGTCAGGCATTAGTGGGCTGGGCCTGGCTAGCCCACATCAACCACCTTGAAGGCGTATAACTCCAGGAACTACTACGGACAATGGAGTGCCATCGACCAGGCAACAGTGACCACAACCTTGGCCGGTTGCACGGCTGCAGTGACCACTCTCTTCAAGGTTAATTTCAGTACACTGGAATATTACCGATATGTGCAATGGGTTGCTTGGTGGGTTAGTGGCAATCACCTCCGGCTGCTCAGTGGTGGAGCCATGGGCTGCTATCCTCTGCTTCGTTTAGGTAACTTGTTTTTTGGCTAACTGTGAAGAGCCCTTGATCATTCCGTCATTGTTGACCGTTGTCTGATTTATTTTCCAATTTTGAGGGAGATAGTGTATTCTTTAAAAGGGTAATTTTGAAATTTCATAATATTATAAATCAGGATTATTAACGGCAGATATCAATTTTTGTTTCAAATATAAGATTTCTGAAAATTAAAAATTGTCTTTCTTTTCCTAAACAATTACCACTCCAATTGGTTATTCGTCTGTTGCACCTGTTAGCAAATACATAACCCTACTGACTCTATGTTGGCACGCTTGAGGGGTCTTTTGGAAAATTTGGGTGATTACCCATTACCTCAACTATCTCTCTTCTATGGCATTTTCTTTTTAATATATATATATTTTTTTATTTTACCTCTAAAACTCCAACCCAACCAATAAGCCAGAAAGAACTTTTAATGTGTCAACCAAAATCCTTGCCCAAATGAGGGTGGCATCGAATTGTTTATTTATTTTTAGCATGTGCAAGAGTAAATCAATCCTAACAAAACTCTAATCATGATTAACTCCAGCTTTAAAGATTCATCTCCCCAAACGAACAACACCACTTTGTTCTCCAACAAGAATATGTCAATATTTCATATTATATATATATATAAAATAAGACATGCCATGTTAGCAAGCCTCTGCTTTCAGGGAAGCTATTTGTCTATTTTATATTTTTTTTTTGTATTTTCTTCTTTTCTTTTATTTTAAAAATATAAAAAAAGTATTCATTTTTTTATTGGATCAATAAATCTGTACACTATATATATAAATATATATAGAGAGAGAGAGAGAATGGATGAGTGAGAGAGTGAAAGTGGGAATAGTAATACGACATAATAAATAAAATTAATAAATCAAATAATTTAAAATAGGTTGAAGTTAAACAATTAAACCTAAAAAAACTAAAAATAATAACTATTAACAAAACTTAGCAAAAATTAAAATACATTTATCTTTGGTTTCCTTAAAATTTTAATTAAAAACATTCTAATTCTACTTAAAAATCAAACTTAACAAACACTAATAAAAATAAGAAAATGGGTTCGATATATTGCACATAAAACCCATGTTCTAATGTTGTATTTTGTTTTGTTTATTCTTTTTTATTTTATTAGAAAACTTTTTATGAGTTGAGACCTTTATTGTGCATAGTGCACATACTAGATAGGAAACTCATATAAAACGGATTGCCCATGAAAATAAAATAGTTTCCATTTGTCTAGAAACCAGTGATGTGTGATATAAAATACAATATATTTTAATACAATAATAATAATAATAATAATAATAATAATAATAATAATAATAATAATAATACAGTTAGAAACATAATAACTATAATTAATAAAAAATTACTAAAGTTGGTAAAAATATTAAATTTTAGCAAGATTTTATTTAACAACTATTAAAAGAAGAAATTAATAAATTAAAATCTAAATTGCAATTTAATTCTATTTTAAGATAATTAATATTAATAGTATAATTAAAATTAATAATAAAAAGTAAAAAAATTATAAAAATAATAAAATAAACCATTTGCCATAAAAATTAATTAAAATAATAAAACTAATAATGACCCAATTATAAATGTCATAAGACTCTTGCTTAGGGATGATTGTTTATAATTTAGCCCTACCTTGTTAAACCTATAAATTTCTAGGCTTAAGCAAATATTTTCTTCTAAGTTAGGTCTAGCTCAAATCTACACCTAACCTACACATAATGTAGGTAGTAAGGATATAAATTAATAAAAATATTAACTTTTTGCAAATTTTATATAACAACCATTAAAAATTAATAAATTAATAAAAATTAGTATTTATGAGATAACTAAAATAGTTAAAGTATTCAAAAAGAAGAAGAAGAAAAAGAAGTTTTGTTGAGAGTCTGTTCAGACCCTGAAATCCTTTCACTTAACATGTTGAAGAAAATTACAAATGGGCCCTTGAATAGGTGCCCAAATACAAAAAACATGAAAGAACATAAATGCCCTTACACTCTCAACACACCCCTTTAAGCTTAGCGTAGATATGTGTCATGCCCAACTTGCTCAAACTATTGTCAAAATTTGATTTGGAGACACCTTTAGGAAGACAATTAATCAACTAATTGATCTTCATACCTACAAAAGGTAAATAAATCTCTCCACTCGCAACTCCTTCTCTAATGAAATGTTGACCAACTTTTATATGTTCTATACGATCATGTTGAATAGGATTGTGGGCTATGTTTATGACAACTTGATTGTCGCAATATAATATCACTGGAGTATCAATCTACACTCCCATTTCTTTCAATAAGTTCTTTAGCCATAACAATTCGGAAACTCCATGAGCCATATAGCTTTGTAATCTACCTCTGCACTAAATCGAGCCATGACTAATTGTTTCATACTTCTCCAAGATACAACATTAGCACCCACAAAGGTATAACAACCAGAAGTTGACCACCTATCATCAATAGAATCGGCCCAACCAACATTAGCATAAGCCTCTACCTTTAGATGCCCATGATTAGAATACAACTTCCATTTTCCTGGACATCCCTTCAAATAGGCAAGTATTCTATTCACTACTTGCATGTGAGATGATCTAGGCTTATGCATATATTGGTTGATCACACTCAAAGCATATGATGTATCTACTTTAGTCAGATACATCTTTGATACATAGTTCCTATTTCCTAAAGCATATCAAGGATAAAATTCCTTTAAGAAATAAATGCCCCTCTTTGACCTTGTGACCTCAATCCCTAAGAAATACTAGGGATTTCCAAGATCCTTAATTTCGAATTTAAAAGCAAGAAAAGACTTTAGTTCAAAATTCTAGAGATATCATCCTGTGTGATAACAATATCATCAATATATACTATCAACATAGTCACTGTTCCATTTGCTCTCCTAATAAACAAGGTATGGTCAACTTAAGATTGTGAAAAACCAATTTTCTGGACAACTTGTTTGAATTTGTCAAAACAAGCTCTAGGGGACTGTTTAAGGCTATAAATGGATTTTTTTCAAACAGAAAAAAATTTCCTTCACTTCTAGAGATGTTCACTCCAGGAGGAAGTTCCATGTAAACTTCTTTCCAAAGACCGTCATTAAGGAAGGCATTCTTAACATCCATTTGATACAAAGGCCAAGAATAACAGGCAACAAGAGATATGATAATTTGAATGGAATTCATCTTGTCTATTGGAGAAAAGGTTTTTCGATAATCAATGCCATAAGATTGAGTGTACCATTTTTCCATAAGACTGACTTTATATCTTTAAATTAAGTCATCATCTTTATGCTTCACTATGTAAACAAAGTTACATCTAATAGGAACTTTGCCCTCTAGAAGAGAAGCAATTTTCCATGTTTGATTTTTTTCAAGTGCCTCAATTTCTTGGTTCATAGTATCTTTCCAATAAGGGAACTAAACTACCTTAGTAACACTGTGAGGGATAAAAACAGAAATATTAGAAGAGATATAGGCATAATAAGATGGAGATAAGATATATAAAAAACATAATTTGATATGGGATATTTAGCACATGACCATTTTTCTTTACAAACTGCAATATGAAGGTTAAGGTAAAAAACCACACTAGGAGGCTTAGTAACAAGTTCAACACAACCATCAGAAACAAGAAGATGTTCAAAATCCAAATTACCTGAGTCCAAGAAGTCAGATTGTAATGGGCATTCAATCTCTAGAATCATCATCTTTTTACATTTGATGAACTACTAGTGCCAAGACCAAGGAATAAGAGGAGGCACAAGAGGAGTACTACTAGCACCACAAGGAGGAAGAAAATGAGAAATATTGATAACATCAATTATAACTAGAGCCGGAATTGATAGACAAAAAGGAGTCTAATCTTCACTAACATTCTCCTTAGGAAGAGAAGGACGAAAAGAGGAGAAGGGAGTAGACTCAAAGAATGTGACATTTTTGGACATTTACCTTTTTCCAGAGCAAGGGTCATAATAATGGTACATTTTTTTAGACTAAAGAATATTCCAAGAAGACACACTTGATAGACTTTGGATCAAATTTCAACTTAAAAGGACTCATGTCATAGATGAAGTAGACGCACCAAAGACCTTAGGAGGAAGATGGAAGGTATTTTTATTAGGCTCATTAGGAAAAAGAAGTTAATAAGGAGACTGTAGATGAAGGATCCATGAAGGAAATCTATTAATAAGATATACAACTGTTTGTCTAGCATCCCCCCAAAATCGAGTTGGAAAATGCATCTGGAATAACAATCATCTAGAAACTTCAACCACATGTTTGTTTTTCATCTCTAGTGAGTTGCCCCTTTTTCTTCAAGAAAATTTTGTAAGTGCTTCTTAAAGTATTTCTTGGCATTGTCAAATCCAATAATCTTAATCTTCTTTTCAAACTATCTCCACCATACTAAAAAAGCCTTTATAATTGAAAGAATTTCAAATTGACTTCATCAACAAAGAGAATGAAATATTTATAACCACCCATACATGAAATAGAATAAGGTTCCCAAACATCGGTATGTATTAAATGAATAACATTATTATTTCTCTTATTACTTGCAAAATATGTGGTTCTACATTACTTTGATAGTTGACAGGCTTTACACAATAAACCGGAACTAAACAATGACTCAAATAAACTAGGAAACAAAAACATCAATTAACCATAAGATACATGTCCAAGACAATGATGCCACAACTTAATTTGACTTAATTTCTCATCATTACATAACTTAAATGGACACATTAACCTTAACTTTGGAGATTGATCAAGAGGATAAACTTCATCGGCTTCATGTCTACTACCAATCATCTTCCCTATACTCAGATCCTAAAAGACATAATGAGATGAAAAGAAGGTTATAAAACAATTATGAGACTTTATAAGTAAGCTAACAGATAAGATATTTCTATGTTGTTATAGGATATGGAAAACATATTTCAAAGAAATGTTATTGGTAAGTTTAACTTCACCCAAACCCAATATTGGGTTTGAGATCCATCAACAACCGTAATCTTATTTTTTTCTTAAAATAAGTTTATGAGTGGTAAAATAGAAAGGCATACCAATCATATGATCACTGGCTCTTATATCAATTATCTAAGAGTTAGAGGATAAGGCACAACATGAAAGTGTAGTACCTGATTTTGCAAAGGCACTAGAAGGTGCATATGAACCAATAGATGTAGACAACCTGCTCTTTTCAAAAAATAAGATGCCTCTCAATTTTTCCATCACATCAGAAGTGTCATGAATAGATGCCTAAGTAGAAGAATTTCCCTCAAGCATGTGAGTTTGAGAATCATGACTAGTTGTAGAAACATGAGCATTTACCTTCTTTCTACTTTTAAACTTTTCAAACTTTAGGTGGGGATTTAGTTTCCAACACTTATCCTTGGTGTGTTTTGGCTTCTTATAATATTTACAAACTACCTCTTTAAATTTACTAAAACTTTGTTTGGGTTTTATAGACACAAGTACTCATTGATAGGAACTTGCATCGTGGCAAATCCAATGTACAACACTAACAAGAGAAAGCCAAATAGTTTATCAAAACTCAGGTAAGAATTCAATAAATTTCAGAATCAGTAAGTGCTCACCAAATACAAGGCCACTCTACTGATGTACTCCTTCGGAGGCCATGAATGCTTTCTATAGTGGAAGAAGTTTACAATAACTATGTTAAATGGAATTCAATCTCGTGAAGAAGAAACAAGAAAAAACCCTCCAAATTTTCTATGACCAACAAGTCCACAAGGCTCCGGTTAGGAACTACAGGATTTCGATTTTTATGAACATTCAGTAATAAGATCACCAAAACTTTATGAGAAAGTGAAGTCATTGAACTTCTTCAAAATAGTGCACCAGTAAGTATCTACAGGGAACCATTATGGGGTTCGGTTCTTGGGTCGAATGGTCCAACCATCCAGTCCGAACAGATAATCCATTCTGATGAAAAATAAATAAAAAATAAAAAAAAACAAAAATGGCCAAAAACTGTTGTTTGGGTCAACAGTTTGATCACCTGGGTCAACGGTTCACTAACCAAATCAACGGTTTTTTGTCAAAAAGCAGTTTTGGAGTAAAATGAAACCAGCCAGATAACTGATTCCCGATTTTTTCAGTCCGATCGTCCAGTCCAATCTGGTTAATTTCAAATCGGAATGGCTTCCCACGAATATATCTTAAATTGCAATTATATGAACTAAAACAACTTGCTCTCCATCCACCAAAGTCTGGAACCGCAAAAATCACCAAATTAACAAACAAAATCCTTTAACCAAGAATATTCCGGAACTCAAGAAAATCAGATCACGCAACACTCGAATAAACACACACACACACACTTTGGTCCAATTCAACTCCAGAGAAGAAAAAAACGCAAAACAAAATCAAACTTCTTAGCGAATGAAATTGATGGAAATCCTTTGTTGCTATAGATAAATCCAAATCCCTACCAAAGATTCCCCACTAATAAGCTATCAGGAACTCAAACGAACTCTCACTATGAACGAAATTCAAATTAGAAAAAGGAAAGTACAAAAGCATTGAGGATCCCTTTGTTCCCAAAAAATCACAAAGCATGATTTGTGTTACAAAATCAGAAGAAGATCAAAGGCAGAGGAAAGAGAAAGAGAGTAGGTGGGTTTCTTTCAATCTCACCATTTAATTAGATAGATTTGGTAAAAGAGAATTAAAAATCTATAAAGAGAATTTTGGAAAAGAAAAATCTATCATTGCACATAAGAGGTGAAAAGAGAGCATGGTTTTCTAAACCAAACCAGACTGGATGGTTGGACCAGAAAAACCGGGAACTGGTCAGGTGACCGGTTCCGGTTTTCCCCAAAACCAGATTTTCTTCAAAAACTGTTGATTTTGGTTAGTAAACCGCTGACCTGGATGATTAGTCGTTTGAATCATTCAAACGGTTGACCGTTTTTTATGTTTTTAATATTTTTTTAATTTCTTATTAGAATGGGCCGACCGTTCAATTTAAACGGCCGAACCATTTGACCCAGTAACCGGACCCCTAATCGGTTCGATCTTCGGGTCGGTTTTAAAAACCATGAAAGGGAGAGATTGAAATTCTCTCCTTTATATATAGGTATATGGATATGGTAGAGAAGCCATCTGGGCCAGGGAATTTGAGAGGGCCCATTTGACTAACAACATTCAAAACCTCTTCAGCCATAGGCAGCCAGTAGAAGCTAGCATTCTCCTTTTTTGTAATGACTGGGATCACTAACTATTCAATATCACTTATGCTAGTTGGTCCGAAGAAGTAAAAACTCCTTCAATGTACTTCACAACTTCCTCCATTATGACATCTTGATCATCATTCTATTTAGCCGTATCCATCTTCAGCCAATCAATGGATAGTTTCCTTCTATCCACAATTGTCGAAAGGAGAAAAAGTAAGTATTTTGATCTCCCTTAGCTAACCAAGTCTCTCTAGAATGTTGTTTACAAAATAGTTCTGTTGACCTATCCCTTAACTTACCAAGTCTATCTAGAACCAAATGGAATAGGCCTTGAACTAATTCTACCCAATTTGTTAATGGGTAGAGTCCAATTCCAAATTGTTGAAACCAACCCCCATCTAGACCAAATCCGAGGTCTTGGGGCTTATCCTACTAGAATCAATTCAAAGAACCAGCCT